TGAAATGAAGTAATACCCTTTACAGTGATGTCATCGATATTCCTCCCTTTCAATTTTTTTTTGAATCACCATCTTCTACTGCTAGGAGGAGCTTTGAGATCTTGGTGAGTTTAACAGCACTTGCATGCATTCTCCAGGATTGTCCAGAATTTAGCAGTTAATAAACATGCGCATCACTGGCAGTCAGCAAGGATGCTGTGTATACGGCTAGTTTAGGATCTAATTTTGCCAGGACGCTTGAACGTTAGCTTGTGAATGTTACTTACGATAGTCTCAAAGCAACTAACAACGCTGATAAATTGTATGATCTCAAACGCCTGTTTTGTTTCTCCACAAAGGTTTGACTTACGAGTCGACGCAAGAGCTGTAACTTGACAGGAAGCTCACTATGTCTCCTGTACTAACAGGTGGAAGGGTGCATGTTGTCTCATGAAATAATCATACTCAAGGTGCAATTATTTATCAAGATTTATTAAATAAGTGTAGATCATGAAACTTAAAAGGACACATTACTTACTCACTTCCGACTTTCCGTTCTGTCTTCCACGTTTTGCATCCAGCCTTTGACGTTATGACTGACTAAGACGCTTAAATTAATCCATTCATTGACATTTATAGTTAAACCTATGTATGAATTCACCTTACAAGCATCCAGTCAATATTTAAACGTTTTCTGCAAACGTTTCGGTGCTTCATGGAGGCCTGCTTCTTCAACCTATGCATGAGAAATGCTGAACATGAATTGGACTGCATTTTGCAATTCGGACATATAAATTCTGGCTCATCTGAAAAAACACTTATGTGCATAGGGAAACTAATAGCACATACGTTGTTTTTAAACTGGGCTGGAATCTGTAGTTTCAAATTGCAAAATGCAGTCCAATTATAGGGAGGGATGCTCCCTTTTCTTTCTCTCTCTTTTTGAGCACGCCAAATGTGGATGCTCTCTTCTCTCTCTTGCACGTTTGAGTGCGCCAGATACTCCCTTTTTGCTCTCTCTCTCTCTTTTCTCCCGGGCGCTCGCTGATGAAACCCGCATCGACTGTCTTATGACGTCATCGCGACTCTGAGAGCGCCCACAATCCCTTCGGTAGATTGGCCTGGTCCTCCGAGTTCTCTCTCTGGCTGGGGCCGCGACATAAATTCATTAAAATTGCTAAATCAGCTGATATGATAAAAAAAAAAAGCATCGAAGAAACAACGTCATAATAATCAAAATCCAATATTAACCTCCCAAAAAAAATAATAATTCTACAATAAGGGCATAAATTACAGCCCATATTTTATGTACGCGTATAGGAACGAGAGTGTGCTAAAAAGTAATGTCTCCTAGCTCAAAACTTGAAAAAAAAACAATGGGCATTTTTACAGATTTTAGGAAGATTCTCAGAATAGACGTTTTTAGGTTTCTAGCAGTTTATCAGTGTCGGAGAAATCACAGATTTTGACGCTTTGCCATACTCGACAGGTAAGATGTTCAATTCCAACCACGCGGAATCCTGTTTCGGCTGGATAGTTAAATCCGAAGTTATCACAAGATTGTGGAATGGAGAGTTTTCCGCCACGCTTAAAAAAGAAGAAATTAAGTGGTGATGGAATCTTTGACCGTGGGAGATTCATACACCCATTAATCTGCATAGGCGGTAAACAAATGATAGTAGTGTTTGACACTACTATCATTTGTTTACCGCCTATGCACATTAATGGGTGCACGAATCTCCCACGGTCATCAAAAGTCAATTTTAGTCACCCTCAGGAGTGATAAGCCCAGATCACACGGAGGCGAAATTGAGTTGAAAATGGCACATCGGTGCTTTTGTTGAGTGTTGATGCCAGAATCTAGATTCAGTTGTGTTCACACGTCCGACTTCGAAAATGACGTGAAAATGGCGGAAAGCGGGGGAAAAAGTGTAAACAAACAAAACATTTTTTTACTATAGTGAATTTCGTAGCGCTTATTTCTAGCTTTTTTTAATATTTAAGTTGTTAATTCAAATTACAAATAAGTAATGGATGATATTCTTACGTTCACTTTACTTGCTCGGAAGATTCTGCTGTTGGGGGCATATTATCAATTAAAACTTAAGGCGAAGAAACCCGCCAGAAGGAGGTTTTGGGTTAGGTTAGGCAATGGTTTCTTAGAGGCATCTTGCAGCACGTTTACTTCCATTTTCCACTACACTACAGCTCTACCTTTTAATACATTTAATTTTTACAAATTTTACATATATAACAAGAAACTTCCTTAAAAAGAGTCACATTACTCCAATGAGGCCACTCTCCATGCGAAGATAGACAGCAAATACATTAGCAGGGTTGCCGTGTTTTCAGTTTTAGAGTCCCCGAACAAAGTGGCAGCCCTGTCAATGTATTTGCTCCCTATCTTTGCACGGAGAGAGTTTGTCTTGATGTAGAGGTGGACTCTCAGGATAGGGTGGGATATCCCCTCCATTTCGGCCTCGACTTGAGAGCTTTTTTTGAGCTTGGGGGTTGATTTCAGAGGAAACCAGTGGCACCATCGTGTTTCTCGTGAACTTTTACATGAGAATCAATTGCTATTTAGTCAAATCGCAAATTTCTCACACATGCAACATCTCCATTGTGTCGGAGGGCGCTTCTTTTAGTGGCAGAAGGAAGTATCAGTGGCATGGCGTGAACAATCGATTATCGATATTTGCCCATTTGAAGCTATAGTAAAGAATCGATTATTAAGGTGTTCGTTACGAACACCCTGTTCATTGATTCTTATCCATAGGTTTAAATGGTAGATCAATCGATTTATCGCAAAGCATGCCACGCCACTGTATAGTAGCCCATACTTTTCTAGCTAAAAAAGAACCATGATAACAAATTCATCCCGGCGAGGGATTGAGCCTCGACTTCCGGGGTTGAAGCCGGGCGCGATGGAACTCGGCCACGCTGGAGGCGCCGTTGCCAACTGAGAAACTACACTTTTTAACTGAAAAATATACTTTTAGCTCGGAAAATTGAGAGGCGTGTTCAGAAATTACGTGCGCTTATTGGCCACGTGCTTCACAGCGGTTTTCGGAGCTCCACCTTAGCGTCTTGCCCTAATGGATTGGCCTTGAGGCAAATTATTATTTGGATTCTTATGAATTAAATCAATCAATCGTTCAAAATAAACGTCTAATTTTGACTTTAATGGGTCCTCTAGAGCAATTTTTCCATATGGACAATGCCCATTTTTATTTTTTTTAGTATTGTTTGAGGCGGCAAATTTTTTGACGCTCCTAATTTTTTCAAATTTAGTCTGAAGTTACTGACTCGGATATAATTATTCAAGCATGACACGGCCCCTAAAATGATATTATCAGGTAACAAGTCCATGCACAAATTATATGCCAAAAGTTCAACATTTTACGTGAATTTTTAAAAATACCATGCACCAAACGAGCAAGATCCACATTTTAGCGCCTGTTACAAAATGGCGTCATTTCCCCTAAGGCAACACGATATGTAGGTAACATGTATACATGTTCATCTGGTAAAAACCAGAAGCGCCGAAATGTGTTTCATCAGGATTCTCGCAGCTCTTGCCCAAATGTCTCCATTTCTAAAGGTTATCCCTGGTGGAAGTCGACCTTGTGCAGGTCCGTGCGGCGAAAGGCTAGTCCCCGTCACCTCGTGCAACCATCTGCGAAGGATGGGATTCCCGAAATTATGCCTTTGTTTCGCTTCCCTCTGCACGGACTCACGGGAGGTGACGGGGACTTGCACGGACCTAGCCTTCCGCCGCACGGACCTGCACAAGATATGCTGAGCCAGGAGAGTAATTACTTTTCACTCACCCCTTGTAGCCTCTGACGCGATACATATAGTGAATCATAAGTCAGAGTAGGAATTAGAAGTATCTATGCTAAAACGAATGAATCTTAAGCAAATGAATCAAATCAAAGGGAACCATAAAATACCCAAATCCTATGTAGCATGTTCTTGCAACTCGCTCATCTCGACATTAATACTTTCAAATGACCCCTGAAGTACATACATTCTCATGAACATTCCAGGCCGAATACATTTAACACATCCGAAACCTCCAAAATTCACGCACCAGAGGGGAACTATAGTTTGTGGCGTACAATTTTCAGCACATTCGAACTTTCGTCATCGAAAAATATAATTTCAGATGGTCAAACGAGTTAAGTAAATTGAGTTTAGTCCCATTCACTCAATAATAAGATAATAATGATATAATGACACACCTCTAATCTTGCAATTTTGTATTGCACCTCTGTTTCTCCCATTCGTCTTTCTTTAGGAATTCAAGAAATTTCACCTTAGTAGCATTGCATTTTCCTTCGGATTGCATCGTGCCAACCTTAATCAACTTTGGCCATCCATATGTTTCCATCTTAGTAGTTACATGTTCCTAAGTGCCGAATTCTGACCTATCTGATTTATTTACCACCGTGAATACTCTTATTTTTCACAAATGGATTTTTTAAACAAAGAGCATATTGCCAACCCATTAAAATTGTCATAATAACATTCTTTTTACCGTCGTCAAGAACCCCTGATAGAAACTTCAGCAAGACTTATCGCAGTCTCTTACCGAGAGTGAATAAGGTGGACTCACTGAGAAAAAAACTTCGGTCATATGAAGTGAATGTACGGTTTTCAAGATCAGTCGTATTGTTCGGTGCATTTGACCACTCCCTGGATTCTTCTGGGGACTGTTTCCTCGGTTCATGCAACTGAGCTTTCAAACCGAATGGAACTAACGAAAAAGTTCGGTTGCATGAACCGAGGATGCGGCGTCAGTGTTTAACGTAGAATATGAGTCGGAAAAAGTAAAGAAAATCGAGAAACTATGCACTTTTTCGGATTCAGCGTAAAATTTTGGTTCGGGATGACATCTAAATCACCGCGCAGAACAACGGTTGGCTCTGCACAAAAAATTGTGACCACAGCAAAATGGAATGTTGTTTGGACTCACCCTTACAAACGGCTTAGCTATACATTTGTCTTTAAAGCAGAGCAAATTTATAGCAATTTCTTTATTTATTTTTATTTTTATTTTTTTTTTCAACAATTTCTCTTTACGTTACACAATCCTCACGCGCTCCTTCTAGATCATTACATCAAACTGCTCTTGAAGTTCACGATAGACCCTTTTTCCAGAACATTACGCAATTTATTCAGTTGGTTACAAAAGGGCTCAAGCGTCAAAAATGAGAATTCGAGAAAAATGGTTACAACCGTTTTAATTGACCCCTAGAAATCTCAGAGCTCTAAAATATTGAAGCCAGTTAGCATTATTCGCATTTTTAATTAACCTGCAATTTAAAACGGGTTGGTTAATGTGGTTTTTACTGGGTTTTTTTTTCGTATTTTTATATCTGGCACCCTTTGTAACTGGCCGATTGTAATAACCGTTTTAATTGACCCCTTAGAAATCTCAGAGCTCTAAAATAATAAAGCGATGAATTAATTAATCGCATTTTTAATCAACCTGCAATTTAAAACGGGTTTATGGTTACGGGTCGAGCAATTTAAAACGGGTCGAGCTTATGGTTAATACGGTTTGTACTGGGGTTTTTTCGTATTTTTATATCTGGCTTGAGCCTCTTTGTAACTGGCCGATTCGATCTAAGGACGTCCCCTTAAGGAAGGAAAGAGTTAGTTCGCCCATTTTTTCTATTGTTATACGAATTACTGCCTAACGCCCGGCCTCAACGCCGCATCGGTTTGAGGAACATCTGCGTCCAGTATTTATGCAGCCTGCCCCCTTCTTCGTAGCCAACGCCAATTTCCGTGAAAAGGGGGCTCATGATATTCTTCCGATGCCCAGGACTGTTCATCCACCCGTCCATGACCTCCTCCGGCGTGTCCTGACCCGCGGCGATGTTCTCACCCGCCCCCTGCCAATTTACCCCGTAGGTCGTCATCATTTTCGAAACACCTCCATACGTAGGCGACTCGTGCTCGACGTAGTCCAGGTCGCGCATATCCGCCGATTTCATAGTGGCCAGCTTGCTGACTGTTCGGTTCTCCTTCAAAGGGGCCAGTCCTGCCTTTCGGCGTTCTATGTTCACAAGTTCTACCACTCTCCTTCTGCATTCAGCAGGATTTATACTCGTCGCCTGACGGAGGAGCATCTGCGTCCAGTAGGGGCCACTCGGGTCTCCTTCCACGTAGCCGACCCCGATCTCCGCGAATTTGGGGTTCAAGATATGCTCCCGGTTTCCGGGGCTGTTCATCCACAAATTCATGACTTGCTCCGGAGTTCGCGGCCCGGCCGCCATGTTCTCACCCGTCGACAGCCACCTTATCCCGACTTCCGTCATCATATCTTGAGAATTTCTCACAGCGGGCGACTTGAGGCCATTGTCGCGCATATCCCTCGATTTGGTAGTGGCCAGCATGTCGAGCTTTTGGTTCTCTGCCAAAGGTTGCAGTCCGTTTGCTGCGCGTTCCGCGTTCACGAGCTGTATAACTCGCCTCGCCATTTGAGCAGGATGTTGAGGCTGCGACGGGGAACTCTGGCGAGGGACCGAGGGAGACCAGCCGGGCCGGAAGGACTGGGACCGGAAGGAAGGGGAGTGTTGGAACGACTGGGGTTGGGAGTGCCACCGCCGCGGGGATTGACGTCCACCTTGGGGTGACCCCGGAGGTCTGCGGTACGGGCTCGACATTGGACTCTGCACCGGGCTCGCCATTCTGTGGCCGGAGTAGGATCTTGAAGGCGATAGTGGCGTCCTATAGCCAGAGTTGCTCCTCGATAGCCCTGGCATACCCTGGCCGTTCAAGAGGGGATGTGTTATTCCCCTTCCAGGTGCCCTGAGATTGCTGAATATCTGTTGCAGCATCTCAGGGGGCATCTCCGTGGTTCGAGGCTCCTTACCATTTTCCATAACGGTTATGGAGCCTCTCGAGAACGAGCGAGTGAACGGTGGTTGGCCATGGATGGAACTGGCGAAGACCAGGATGAAGATTGTCAAAACCGGGAGCATCGGTGAGAATAAATTCTTCGTCGCTTTCATTTTGTTGCCGAAAGCAAAAGGCAACTATCAAGCTCGGAATAACCTGTGGAGAAGAAAAACGAAAATTTTTACACTGCTTTATCCGTTCAACTCGTCTTTTCACTGGAAAAAAACACATCGGATCTAGAATCCAGACTCTTGAAAATATTGACAAGAAAAAATACTCTTGATTCAATCGGATATTTGCTTGAATCAAAACGAAATCCGCTTAAATTAAGAGGCTTGGTTCTTGATTTAAGCTAGATTCTGATTGAATCAAGAGTACTTTTTCTTGTCAATGTTTTTAAGAGTCTGGACTCTAGATCCAATGTGTTTTTTTTCCAGTGTTGTGTAGAAGTAATTGTTCGGGGGACCAATCAGCCAATTATTAATTTTCTCGAAGCCCTTATTTTTTTTCTTCGTTCATGCTCGTAAGTAATGAGGCTCAAAGGTGTGCTTTATTTTGAGCCTATCAAACTCACGTCCTACACATGGCGGGAAAAACAACTTAGCGCTGAGCCCTACACAGAGAGAATTTTGGCACATAAGTTTGGTAATTGCGGGAAGTAAAACACCAAATAACCCTAGCCTTCGGTTGACAATTATTTCAAGAGTAATCGCCAGGTGGTTTTCTTGAAGAAATTTTAATAAGACGAGTGGTGAATTACAACGTCGCAATCGGAAGAATACGTTTTTCTAGTCTCTCCATCGTGTTCTGCATCAAATTCATACCGTAAACTGCAGTACTAAAATCAACACGAAATTTGTGTTGTTTTGTGTTTCATTTCCTATTTTAAACAAAAGTAACACAAGAACACAAATATTTTTACCAGTGTGAGACTTTAGGTAGGACAGGCTGTAGGGCACAGTTCTACTGATTTTAGTTGGCGCTATTTTACTTACAGTGTTAGGGCTCAGCGGTAGTTAAATTCACTACCGTAAGGGAGTAAACATGCATTTCCTAACTGTCTCTAGTGGGTTATCCCCGATTTGGGACGAGTCAGATCACCCTGGAACTGCTGCACGCGAGCAGGTGTGAGAACAGATGGAACAAAAATCACGATGGTATCATTGAAACAGTCTGAAATCCACTTCTTCAGACGCTATTTGTGTAGTGTGGAACACGCTTTTTCAAATCCCCCGCATTTGGCGGTAGTGCATTCCAGGTATCGTATCTGGCAACAATCAACGGCAACTCCCTGTTAACGAAATTGACAATTCTAAACATTATATTTATCAACATAACCTTCAGATCGATGACATACAGAGTCAGTTTGTGTGACCCAAGTAGCACAAAGACGTAAAATTTACAACAACAAAAATCCGTAAAAGAAGGCGTAAACTAGACCAAAAGTGAAACGCTGATGTAGTCTTTTTTACAAGAATAATTCGGGAAGAGCACGAGGTTTTTTACTTAAAAAGAACGAGTTTTTTTATCGGTCAATTTAGCGAATTTTCAGTGGGTACAGACATTCTCCCTCAATTTTTTGTTTTCCGTAACCAAAAATTTTACATAAAAAATAGATGCTCGGCGAGGTAAAAAAGATAAATAGTGATTACGTGAAAAGTTCAGAAGAAAATTCAGCGACGACAGTATAGTAAGTAGAAAATCGTGGTTTCATAAGGAAACAAATATGTTTTCCTTCCTATCCTGAAGGTTTTGAATTTCTTTCTGACCTTATTTACGTACCAAAACTACGATTTTTTACGCATATAATTTTTTCTCTGAATTTTTACCCCCTGATTTTCTTTACCTAAAAAATCTCGAATTTTTTACGTAAAGATTTCATTTCACTCCCCCAATTTTTTTTACGTCTTTCATCACACATTTTTTACGTTAAGTTCTCTGACTATGATTTTTTACGAGTTCTTTTGCGTACATCTTTCGTACTCGTAACATTTACTAGTTTTGATTTTTTTTTGCTACGAATTATATTACATGACGTGTTACTAGACAACCATCAAAACTCACATTTCGCGTGTGGGGGGAAAAAAATTGAAGAAGAACAACGAATTGGCGACTACAACATCCGCTGAGGCCGCCTAAAGTTTGCTTGTGTCCGGTAACTAGAACACTGTCCCTAGACGCAGGAAATTTGAAGATTCTTCTTCTAAACTATGCAAATGGACCATTAGACAAGGCACGAATTCAAGCATTCTGATACATGTTTCCTAACCAGAATTTCTTGTAGAACACGATTCGCGCAACGAAAATTACTGAAACCAACCCCTAACGAAAATATTAACCTTTTGATTTCACATTGGTTACGCGGATTTTGAACTGCCCGCTCACAATAAACTCAAAGCTCTACGTGAGTCAAATCGCGCACTAAAACGGTTTTAGCAAAGCCTCTCAATTGAGCCTTGTTAATTTCCCACCATGTGTTGTTCAAACTATAAGCAATTTACTATAGCTGAGCCAAAGCGTCAAGATTGAGGTTGTTAGATTTTTATATCGCAAGAGAATGTCATGATAACGTTTAGCGCGCGATGTGAATCACGTAGAGCATTGAGTTTTCATGAGCGGGTGGTTTGAGTTTACACATCAAAAATCATCAAAATATCTTTGTAAGGATTTAATTTCGGTAATTTTCGTCGTGTGTATCGTGTTCTAAGTGAAATTTTGGTTAAGACACATGTATCAGAATGCTGACATTTGTACTTTGTCGAGTGGTCCATTGCGCACTAAGACTTAGGAACTTTGATTTTAGACTTTATTTAATGCCATCATAGTGATGTTTGTGACATTTTCCCATTAAATGTCTATTTCCACGGTTGTATCTTTTGCATGCAACAGACTCGCTATGATATTATGATCTGTACAGACCTGCTCTTATTTCTGATTAGGGAACGTCCTAAAATACCATTCTGAAGAAACAGTTGAATTATGAAATCTAAAAATTCAATCTCTATTGACGAAAGCCTGCATAAGTTTACCATGATGAGATTTTAAGTCCATCTCTGATTCATCATACATTTGTTCTCGCTCTTTCTCCTCCATATCACATGTTTACTTTCCTTTTGTTACAGGTAACATAGAAAATCCGCCTCGGAAGAAATTTTGGTTTTCCATTTGAATAAAAAGATCTAGAAAGTTACTAACGCTAATTTCAAGTGTGAGTTAATTCATCATTATTGATTTCAGCGGATTTATTTAACACTTAAAGGCTAAGTGAATACGCCGAGCGTATTTTTAAAGCAATCATCTTCTAAAGGCATTTTAATCCACAACCATGTAGTTTGGCAGAAAACGCTCTAAGAATAACTAACAGCGACAGAGATGGATTTCTGGAGGAGGCCAGTAGAAGTTTCTAGAAAGGATCGAGCCTGTAATGAAAAGAGTTGGTCAAATCGAGGGAGTGGAATAAGACAATTTCTTCGAAGTCATGACTTATGGTCATGACGGAATGACGGCTGTCAAAAGAATTGCTCAGCTGAATTCTTCTTTAGAAGGGACGAACGAGACGCCAAGTGGATGGCGACAGGGGGTTTTACGAGAAATGAGGGGGTGCCAATTGGATTGCATTTTGCGAAAAGGAACCACGAGCATTGCAATGTTGCTAAGATTGTGCAATTTCTTTTGTCTTCGATAACAAACCTATCCATTGACAGTTCCTAATTTACTCGTTGAAAACTGTGAATCTACGACAAAAATGACGATGTAAATTTCATATTTTTTTCATGATTTCAGTTATTTCCTGCAAAGGATGAATTTGCAGATTTCAGTCATTTCCTGCAAAGGATGAATTTGCAGATTTCAGTCATTTCCTGCAAAGGATGAATTTGCACAATCTTAGCATCATTGCAATGCCTATGGTTCTTTTTTGCAAAATGCAATCCAGTTCATCAATTGCGCACTGAATCGTGTTTAGATTCTTCATACTTGTAGTGCAGAGGAGCTAAGATTAAATTAGATCTGTTCAAACAAGACATCGCGTCTTGAAAAATTCGGTTTATGACGTCATCCACTGCGGTAGTGACACCCTTGGTTTCTTCCACATTGGGTTAATCAATGAGTGAAATGCACATTTGCACTGGTTACTCAACGTAAAACTCGGACGAAACTTAAATGGAAGAAACCAGGGGTGTCGCTACCGCGGAGGATGACGTCCTATACCGAATTACTCAAAGCGCGATATCCTGTTTCATTTCGAAGAAAGTTTCGTGCCCCCCCCCCCCCCCCCCNGGTGTAATCTTGGCGCGATTTTGCAAATTCCACATACGTAAAAACGGAACAAAAAAAATCTTGAAAGCTCATGTTTGGACAGATCTCATTTCTTTTTAGTTAATCTACAAGAATGAAGCATCAACACACGATTCTGTGACCGGCGCGATGGACACGGGAAAAAAAAAACGAATTGGATCTAGAGTCCAGACTCTTAAAAACATCGACAAGAAAGAATACTCTTGATTCAATCAGATTTAAGCTTAAATCAAGAACCAAGCCTTTTAATTTGAGCGGATTTCCTTTTGATTTAAGCTTAGACCTGATTGAATCAAGAGTCTTTTTTCTTGCTAATGTTTTCAAGAATCTGGACTCTAGGTCCAATGTGTGTTTTTTTTCCAGTTTACCCTTTCCCAGAAGGGCTGTGGGTGAATAGGGCACTTTGGTGGTTAGGTGTCGCAGAGCGTTAGGGAGTGCGGTAAAAACGGCTTTTCAGTTTGCATGTATCGGTATCATCGCTGATTTTTTCCACAGATTTTCTCATCATCACGCAGGGTTTTAAAGCAGAGTTCTGAAGCGACAAAAACCAGAAGTTTGATGATTCACTCGATTGCGCATCGCTTTCTCTTGTCCAGAGTATGAAATATTTTTTTCCCGTCTGCGAGTATAAAATCCCAACTCAATTCCCACATTTTTTTATCCCATGTATCAGTGGCACTTTGGCGGTTAGGAGTCGCAGAGCGTTAGGGATTGCAGTAAAAACGGCTTTTCAGTTTGCATGTATCGGTATCATCGCTGATTTTTTCCACAGATTTTCTCATCATCACGCAGGGTTTTAAAGCAGAGTTCTGAAGCGACAAAAACCAGAAGTTTGATGATTCACTCGATTGCGCATCGCTTTCTCTTGTCCAGAGTATGATATATTTTTTCCCCGTCTGCGAGTATAAAATCCCAACTCGATTCCGACATTTTTTTATCCCAGGTAGCAGTAAAGGCCATATTGTGTGTCACTTGCCCTCCTCGTGTTTCGCACATGACCTTTAATGGTAATTTCCAAGCTGAGCGTGCAGTTCTGAAAACTCTCAACCTTATACGTCACGTTTGTTTCGCACTAAAATCTCTGCGGTTAACAATAGTTTCGCAGCATTTCCTTGACGTTTTCCATTTTTGATGGTATTGAGGTCCTTGGTACAGATATTATGGACGGAAAAAGAGTTGCAAGATCCGTCGGCTACTTAAATTGTGAAAACGAAAGTTGAGCTATTAGCCGATTTTACCGATATATGCAATGATTGCAACTCAGGCCATGCTTTAGTAAAAAAACAATGTGCAAGAGGATGTTAATTTGTTTACAATATTAACTTAACATGGTGGACAAGCAAACGTTTCGACCTAAATTTTAGTCTTCATCAGTGCAAAGGAAAGGAGGAACATAGAAAGGAATAAAATACGTTGGCAAGATGCTTCATCATGCACAAAGAAAAAGAGAGAAGATTCAGATTCGTTTTTTTTTTCCATGCACCATGTAGCAATCTTGTAGTGATTTTCCTTTTTTCTTTGTGATTATGCATCTTGCCAGTGTTTTTTATTCTTTTCTATGTACCTACTTGCCTTTGCACTGATGAAGACCAAAGTGTTGGTCGAAACGTTTGCTTGTCCGCCATGTCAAGGTAAAATCGTAAATATATTAACATCCTCTTGCACATCGTTTTTTTATTAAAGCATAGTCTGAGTCGCAATCATTGCATATACTTGTAAAATCGGAAAAAGAGATAATAGCCCCGGTAATGCAACCTTACAGTTCTACTGAAGTTACGAACATTGTAAAACTGTTTGTGAATCCAATAACACCTAAAATGTTTAAGACTTGAGCGCAGTTTCTCTCTCCCCTTTGATAGTTCTCCGAGAAGAATTTAACAATTTTCCCTCAGAAATTATTTTATGTTTCTCCTTTCGGGAGAGGGGCGGAGGGTTCTCGATGTCATAAGACCGAACAGTTACTATGGTATGGTCATGTAACCATGAGGACGGAAGAACATTTACCAATTAAGATGACTAATTGGCTTCCTCTCAGGAGGAGAAAAAGCCCAAACGCTCAGTGAAAGGTTGGAGACACGGGGTTGAACAAAAATTGAGGAATCTGGCTCCCAGATCGGCTGTGGGAATTCGGGAAGAAAGGGGTCCGTCGCATTTAGGAATCGCCAAGCGCCAGGGAGCGTCGCAAAGGCGACTCTTATGTATCAAAAATGGGTCCAAAATTAATTGTGCTAAACAGATGTTTCTATATGGCAAATTTCCCTTCTTATATTTTGGTTTTCATACTTTGGATCAGTTTTAAGGGTCTACGTCGGGTTGGTTAGGTGTCGTAGAACGCGAGGGAGTGCTGTAAGCGACCTATACATATGTATGTACGAGCGTCATCCAGAAAGTAAGTTTACCTATTTAGCACGTCCTTAACTAAGATATATAAAGAAAATCTGTAAAAAAGTTCAATAGATTTTTTGGTTTAATAAAACTCAAGAAAAATTGATTTTTCTGAACTGTCCTCCTCTCCGCGCGGTTCCAAAATTTAACGGAGCGCCATCAGCAAACGAGCAGCTGCGTGTCTGTCGCTAGAAAAAGGCTGAAAGGTGGTTGAATTTCATGTAAAATATGAGGAAACACATTTCTAAGTTAGAATATTGCAGGTTTATTCGATATTAGTGGGTTTGAACTGCAGTATGTGAAAAGGTTAAGCTACAATTGGTTAATTCGTGGAGTTGTGCCGGCTGAATTTGGTTTCGGTGTGTGAATTGCGCTCTATAATTCGTATTTCAACCAAAAATAGTGACCGAAGCTGCTCAAAATCAGGTTAATTTACAGTAAAGTTGTTGTCAATTTTGCATATTTTTCAAAATGGTGCCTCTTTGACGAAATTTCTTCGAGAGCGGGCGGAGTAATGTGAAGCCCTATGAATAATTCAGTTATTGAGAGAGAGTTAACGCTGTCAATTCAGTTAATTATTGTTCAAATAAAACTGATTTTAAAGTAAATACAGTCAATCCTGCAATGTTCCAGATGGTTAATGTTCTTTCTTATGTTTTACACGACTTTCAACTATTTTTAAGCCACTTTTTTCACGATAAGCGATAGATGCAGCACTCACAGCAACTCACTTCCTGATCGAGCTCCGTGAAATTTTGAAGAGGAGGTGGGTACAGAAAAATCCTTTGTTTTAAAGTTTAAATGAACCGAATTTAAAATGTATAGCGCTTTAGAAAGCTGTGCGTGGCGGCTTTTCAACGCTTTTTACAGATTGTCTTTATTTATCTTAATTGAAGAGAATTTGAATAGGTAAACTTACTTTCTGGACCACCCTCGTAAATACTGCAGTACCTTATCGGTCATTTTAAAATTTACTTGTTCTTGTTCCTTTGTTTTTTTTCTAGTTACACAAGTGGCAATTAGAGCGCAATCCGAAATTGTAGCACACGCGCAAAAAAATTACCAATCCTCAGTGATTTTCTGGCAAATGTAGGACAAGACCCACCTCTCGGAATTTTACACTTATCGTATAATAAAACTTAAAAAATTAGCCGGAATTTTCTTATAATGATATAACAAAGTAATAGCCCCATGTAAACGCCCTTGAGTATCTCTCCTTTATTATTTCAACTATAAATCGTAACAAATTATTTGAAGCTCAGAAAATAACTTGCATGCGAAATAATATTTTCATTCGAAAATCAGAATTAATGGTCGCGCGCGGAGAAAGCGAAAACATAGATGTCCCGTAAACTGACACGGTTTTTTCATGAGTCTTTTGATTTTTCACGAGCTCGGTTCACGTTTTTTTTCCCGTTTCTCGAACATGACCCGATAGGTAAATCAAATATCTAGATTTTAAATGTAGCATACTCTCAGTAATTACAGCCTAACTATACAGCTCACTAATTACACGCGATACATACTCGAATAGAGAACGAACCAATCAACGTGATCAATGTTTACTCCATTTCCCTCATGTTTTGCGGCCTGAACTCGGTTCAACCGCAAGTATGAACCCGAATTTTAGAAGTTCTAATTACACTTCAATATCATTATAAAAAAGGATATCGTACCTGATTACGAAACACGGTAACACAGTGGACTTTTAACGGAGGAGCACTTCCTCCGGTTTCGGGGCTACCGATCTGATCAGAACCTTTGAGTGAAGTGCACTGTCGTTTCCGTGACGCCTCCCGAGAGGATAAGTACATTCGAGGAAAAATAATCGTACGTAAGTGCGCCGTTGTTCTGAAGCTGCCAACGCAATCTAGGCCGCCTGGCGGGGCAAAAAAGAGAATGGTGATCGCCGACGCAGAGGTAAAAAAAAAGTAATGAAAAGGTCTATTAATGTATTTTGGTCCGGTGCAATCTGGGTAATAGAAGTTTTCCTCGTGGAAAATTTTCACATTCACTATCGACAGTTTTTCCTGAAATACCTTTCGATGAGTCATGTTAATAATTTACTACGGTTCTTCCAGTTCTGTTCTGGGTTAAGTATTGTTGGAATTTTGCAATTTCGTCGGTTTAGTATTGTCGCCACTCGTGTGAAAATCATGTGACAATCGTGTGATCAGTCATGGAAGTGCTAAATCGCTTGTCCTCGGTGTTTCAGGACGTCGATGATCATGATAAACTTGAAACTGCAAGATTTAAATCGTAAAGACGTCAGGCAATTAATACTTTTACCAAAGGATTTATTGTTTCAGTGTAACCTCTGGTGACAGGGGTATTGGCGTGCTTCCAATGTAGTTGCCTCAGAGAAAGTCTGGGGGAAAATCAATATTTTTCAATCAAAAATCAAAAATATATTTTAGGCCAAGCCAACCTTCTATAGGAAGAAGAACAAGTAATCAGCCAAAATCATATAATACAATAACAACTTAATTTGGGGAAAGGTTAGGCATAATACAATAACAACTTAAAAGGTTAGGCAAAAGGGGACAAATCTGAAGAAAAACCCCGACTGTTTCGAAATTGTTACAATTCCATTATCAACCGGAAACAAAAATGAGTTTTCGATTCGTTGTTATTTTGAGACCGAGACATAGACATTATCTGAGATTGGAACCCTACCAAAAATCTTCCGATGACATTTCTTCCTAAATTTATTTTTGTAAGAAAACATGTATATAAATATAATTTTTTGGCGTAGTATGCGATATCCAAGTCGCATCATTCCTTAAGAAGCCTCATTCTAAAGTATTGGTCAGGGTTTTCAAAAAAAGTAAAGTCAATAAAAAACACCATGCCAGGGAATTTCTTGTGTTGTACATACTAGTAGCTGTTTTCAATTGTATGTACAAGTTTAGGACTCAACAAAAAAGGAACATACACATATACGGTTTTCATTAGTTTTGTATTTTTTCTGAATTGAAAACTTAAAAATTCCACACATAATAACTGATTGGAATAATAATTCGAATTTTAACAATTTTTTGCGTAAATATTGAGATCAGTTTTTAAGAAAATGGTTTAACACCTATGTTAAAATAATATCACTAATTTTGAGTGCTCATTTTTTTCCGGTGTTCTCTTTCACATGAGTTCCCTCCTTGCTGACCGTGACTATCCAAAATATCTTGCGCTTCTTGCTGAAGAAGACGTTCAAAATAAAAATGAATGATTTCAGCAACAACTGCATAAGTATCCTGAGTCTTCTTTAGCCTCCTAAACTCTTTATCATATCTCGGTGTGTTCTTATTCCTGTCTTCAATGTTCAGAGTTGAGCACTTGCGTGGTAAACTGGTGCACCAAAAATACGAGTACCTATGGAAGGACATTCCGTGGCGGAATTGCGGAAAGTACAATCTTGTTGATCAAACGTCTGTTAGGAACTATTCTCACCGGACCATTCTTAATTAAATAAATCTTTATTATTAACGTTGATTAGCTATGTGTGTTGTAAGAAAATACAAGATTTTTCGTTTTTTTTGCAATCAGTCGAATTCTTCCTAACTGGAGACCTGTACAAAGAAAATCCCTGCGCAGCGTCATTATGCGATTTTCTCTGAGAAATATCCTGCCCAAGTTTTGGCAAGCATAACACTTTCACATGTCCTCCTCCCCCCCCCCCATTTCATTTCTCGGAAAAGTTTAGACATAAATGCCATTAGATTCGAACCGTGCGTGGAGAGAAATATGAACAGAGATTTGCCTAACATCTGCTCATTAACATTCGCCTTAAGTAATACTATAGCCCTTCGTTTGATTCCGGGCTTTCCCATGTTTGCCATAGCACTGTGTGTCAATATAAATTGAAACGTTGGGTTAATTGGTTTCTAACTTCCCGTAGGATCCAATGCGAAGTGACCGGGAACACACACACTTGTCTCAGTACACTGGGAAAACAAAAAACAAAACAAAAAAACACATTGGATCTCTAGCCCAGACTCATAAAAACATCGAGAAGACAAAATACTCTTGATTCAATCAGATTTAAGCCTAAACCAAGAACCAAGCCTCTTAATTTGAGCGGATCTCCTTTTAATTTAAGGTTAAATCTGATGGAATCAAGAGTCCTTTTTCTTGTCAATGTTTTCAAGAGTCTGGACTCGAGATCCAATGTCTTTTGTTTTTTTTCCAGTGTACGTAGGTAAACCAACTTGATCAGCGCATAATTTCTCTTCAACCCTCGTTTTATCATCACTACATACAGCCAGCAAGTCTCTAAGACCAATAGAGATGGACCATTAGACATATCACCGTCCAAATCCCGGTTCAGCGTTTGATGAACATCTGAGTCCAGTAGTAGCCCCAGGAGCCTCCCTTGGCGAAGCCGACGCCGATCTCCTTGAAGTCGGGCGAGAGGATGTTCTCGCGGTGGCCCTGGCTGTTCATCCAGGAGTTCATGACGGTCTGTGCGGTGGTCTGGCCGGCGGCGATGTTCTCGCCGGACGACGAGGCCTTGAGCCCGGCGTCCTTCATCATCTTGGACGCACTCCCGAGCCTCGGCGACGTGTGGTCGAAGTACCCTCTGTCCCTCATGTCCGCCGACTTGGTCCGCGCCAGCTTCGACAGCTCCCGCAACTCCCTCAGAGGACTCCGCCCGTGTTTCGCTCGTTCCTTGTTCACCAGTGTCACCACCTACAACAGCAATGAAAAGCCATAATTACACTGGAAAAAAAAGAAAGAAAGAAAAAAAAACACACTCATTGGATCTAAAGTCCAGACTCTTGAAAACATTGACAAAAAAAAGGACTTGAAAACATTAACAAGAAACAAGCAGTGAACTCCAACACAATGTGTTGATAAGGCGCGTCATTAACTCGCACATATCAACCCCTTTAGTTTTCATTTACAGAGATTTCAAAATAGGCAAACAGCATAAAAAGAGAATTCACGATCCAACACTGCGAGGTCAAAGACGCACCTTGACGAGACCGTGTATTGTGAAAGTAGAAAGCTATTCGATCGAATTTAAGTTTTTTGATCTGCCTCAAGCAAAATCTTATCAGATTCTTGAAGAAAAGTGCTACGGAATAATTTAAGCGAAGAAAGGAAAAATTCTGTCGAACTCCTAGAAGATAAAGTCGATTTAAAGGTATTTTGGGGCTAAAATACCCAAATCACCGGTAGTAAAAATCCCGTTATATTATTGAAAAGAAATTGACTCGATATAAATGCAATTGCATTAAATACGTCTTGATTTTGTTATTTTAAACGTCTTTCCATGCAAAGAAGTTCAACCATGTCGTTGCTTTATTCATTCATGAATTGAAAGTAAGCAATCTACATCCCGAAAATCTACTGATTTGCCGTAAAAAATTGCAGAAACTTGATATACCAGGTCGATGCACCCACTCGTTGAATTTACCAACCAATTTTGTGAGTGCAAATGTGTAAGAATCAATATGCTATAGTCATTTTGGGTGCATTTATTTTTCATGAAACAATAATAATTTCAATCCCGAAAAACCATCAATTTTCCGTATAAAATCGAAAAAATCAAAATATGTCAACTCCCCGACGTGAAAATTAGATTCTACGTATGTAAAATGTAAATACTTATGTATCGATATGCTGAACAGAACTATGTGTGGACAGTCAGAAGCCCGCGGCAACATTAATTCAACAGAAAAACTGTAAAAATTAGATAGGATTTTAGCCGCTTTGCCCGCCTCTCCTCGCTACTTACAACAAACCGTTCTTATACTCATCTCAAAATTTTTCTCAGAGCTTTGGGTTATTATCAGCTTCCATTTAAACTCCGGTTCGATGGCCGAATCGGCTGCCAAAAAAGCAAGCCACTGTTGAGGGGTTCTATGAGAAATTCGTGATATTATCGGCTCTCAGGAAATCACCCCATGGCTAAAATTGGTGGTATAAATGTTTAAGTGCTTAAAATAATCGTATTCAAGAAACTAAGGAATTAAACTATGGAGTCAATTTCTTTTTAATAATATAACGAATTTACTACCGGTGATTTAGCTATTATAGCCCCAGAATACTTTTAAAGCGCCTTTGCGTTCCAGAATCTCGACGGAATTTTTTTTTTTTTTTTTTTTGCTTAAACGATTCAAGAAACATTGTAGTTAAAAATATAAAGATTTTTCGATTTGGACGTATGAAAAATGTTTAACTCGTTCAGGCACACCGTGTATTGTATGGAGTACTGCTGTTATTCGACCGTTGTCTTCAGGTCAAAATTCTTACAAAGAAGCCCCTTGCAAGAGGCAAATTTTTTGTAATTTCTCCCAGTTTTTTCAGCGTTAGGTATATAAATGAATTGTTTGTCAAATTTTGAGGTCAATTATATTTAATTGTAATTTATACTTTCTTTTTTTCCCCTTCATTTTATTTTTCGTATCGAGGAGTCGAGGTTTTGTTGATTTCTTCGGATTTCGATTACTGTAACTTCTCTTCTATTCGGCCGATTTTTATGAATGAGGTCTCTTTTTATTTGTGTTTTAACGGAGAGTAAGGAAAAAATTGCTAAATACATGCGAAACAATTTTTTTTGAAAATTGGATGAATCCTAGCGTGACGGTGAAATGGTTAATGAAGCGTGAGTAATTGGGGTACGGGTATCGGCCGCGTTGGGACCCAAGGCCCATTGTTCTTCGTGACGCCGACGCAGTGATCAGGAGCGTGGGGACGAGAGGGCTTAGTGGACTCCTGTATGAGCCACGTTTAGCAAATGGTCTAATGAGTCTCGAGGCTCATCACAGATTGCACTTACCACTATCCTGGTGGCCCCGGCTATCAGAGCAAGGAGTACCAACTTTTGAAAAGGATAACAGTGTTGTGGAGATATGTCAAAGCAACGTTGTGAACAAAACGGAGTGAGTGAAATTCTCATTCAAGGAGTGCCGAACTGGTCAGCCATCCTCGAATCAGTTCGCTTGCTTCCGCTTATATATGCATATTTTAAATCAGCGCGCCCCATTCTAAGGTTTTTTTAAAAAAAACCAAGAAACGTAGACTCTTGGTATTCATTACACATAAACTAGCGAGCCCCAGAATGAGAAACAAATTTTAATCATTATTATTGACGGATTAGTAAACTTTTTACACGCTTTGGAAAATCTCAGAAGTTCGCGGTAGTCACTTTTCGGTAAGGAACTAGGGGACTCGGTTATTGTATCGAGGGGGGGGTCGAAACGATCGCAAAGGCGGTATACTACGTATACGCGCCAAAAGGACTCTTGATTCAATCAGATTTAAGCTTAAATCAAAAGGAAATCCGCTCAAATTAAGAGGCTTGGTTCTTGATGTAAGCTTAAATCTGATTGAATCAAGAATATTTTTTCTTGTCGATGTTTTTAAGTGTCTGGACTCTAGATCCAATGTGGTTTTTTTCCAGTGTATGTATATGAACATTTTTCTTTTAAAAAAAGGAATTTTATTTCATTATAACGTAACTACTACAAATATTTCCTTGTATCTGTCTCCATGGTTTACAACTAAAACAAAACGAATTGCATTAATTTTATAGGGTAACGTCAGATTAATACGATGATTGTATACAAACATCCGCTTAGCTTAATTTATTTCTTACTGATAGGTGAAATTTAAAATTATATAATGCGCGACGTAATGTCCAGGCAGTTAATTTGGTATGGGCATGTGCAAAGAATGTCGGAGGAGAGGTCTCCCAAACAAGTTTTGGATTGGGTACCACCTGAGGAAAGCAGATGCGGACGTCCAGAGTGGCATGAAACTTAAGAAAGAAATGAAAGATTGCAAATTTTAGTGAAATATTTCATGAAATTTCGCAAGGTTGTGTAATATTTCATGAATTTTCACGAGGCTGTGAAATATTTCATGAAATTCCACGAGGCTGTGAAATATTTCATGAAATTCCACGAGGCTGTGAAATATTTCATATTTTTCAGGGGCTAGAGTACGCCAGATGCACTCAAACACGCACAAATAGAAGAAAGTCACAATTTTGAATCAAAATCAAAATCACAATGAAAATGCAGTTCTTGTGTTTGTGTATGTGCACTTGTCAGTGGCTTGTCGTCGCGCAGGGTTGCCACGGTCAGGGAATACCCGGAAATGTCAGGGAATCTTAAAAGTCAGGGAAAACCGGGAAATTCAGTGGATTCTGAAAAGTAAGGGAAAACCTGGAAATGTCAGGAAAAAAGACGAAAATGTCAGTGAAAAATTGTTACGTCATCTTCATTTGCTTTCCAGAACGAGTTCCGCATTTCGAGCAACAAATTTGCCTGATAACTACTTCTAATTATGTATTTTTAACAAATTGGCATATCTTCAATTGTCAGAGAATTTTACCAAAATGTGTCCAGGAAATCAGGGAAATGTCAGGGAATTTCATTCTCTAAATTCGACGGCAATCTTTCTCGACTTTCTCAGCCCTGGTGGTTACCAATACTGTTACTGGTTTTTCCACTCATCACATGTTTGAGACATCTCTATGTACTCATTCTCAAGGAGAACCCCCGTATCCATTCCATCGTTTTGTTAAAATGGAACATTTTACTGCGATTCCGGGAAACTGCGATGCACGAAATCGCTATGGCTGGGTATACCGACGTCACTTTCCAGGTATACCTTTGTCACTCGTCTCGATCGCCATGTTCACTCTGACATGTGATGAACATTGCCACTCGTGCGAGTGACGCTAACGTCGACGAGTTACGTAGGTAGGAACGTGTAACCTAGTTAAAACAATAGAGGCCCTGCCGATACACATTTTTCGGCATTTTTTCCACTAATAACAGCTAGATGACGAGGACTAAAATGAAAAGGAGAAGCCCGCGACGCGGGCGGTCGGCATGAAACGCATAGCGCCTACAAGACTGCATGAATACTTCACGCATTGCGTCAAATACACTGCGGTCAGCAGAGCAGTCGGCGCGGCGTGAAACGCATAGCGCCTACAAGACTTCACGAATACTTCACGCATTGCGCCAAACACAGGACGGTCGGCGCAGCGGCAGAAGATAAAATTGTTAAACCGCATTTATGTTTGTTCTTTCATAATTTTTTCGTTCGTTTGTTATGAATGGAAGGCCTTGTCCAAACAGGGGTGGGTTTACGGAACTCAAGTTTCGCGTCAAGCTCCGTGAACTTTCGTTAGTGTTGACAGGGCTTTCACATAAAGTGTGTCCAACACGAGTGAACGTGTCTCATACACCCCTCTCCCACCGGCACGTTCACTTAACGAATTAGAAGGGGGCGGAAAAATACAGGCGGCCCATGGGCAGTAAGTAGGTAAATCCGGCCCTGAATGCTGTAATGGACTACTAGACAGGGTACGAATTTTAGCATTCTAATACATGTTTCTGAACCAAAATTTCACGTAGAACACGATTCGCGCAACAATTGTTACTGAAACCAACTCTTAGCGAAGATATTAACGTTTTTATTTCACATCAGTTACGAGGAATTGGAACTTGCCGCTCACAAGAAACTCAAAGCTCTAAGTGAGTCAAATCGCGCACTACAATGGTTTCAGCAAGCCTCTCAATCGAGCAATGTTCATTTCCCACCACGTGTTGTTCAAACTATAAGTAATTTGCTATAGCTGAGCCAAAGCGTCAAAATTGAGGCTGCTAGATTTTTAAATCGCAGATATTGTCATGATAACGTTTAGCGCGCGATGTGAATCACGTAGAGCATTGAGTTTTCATGAGCGAATGGTTTGAATTCACGCATCAAGAATCATTAAATATCTTCGTAAGGAGTTAATTTCGGTAATTTTCGTTGTGCGTATCGTGTTCTACGTGAAATTTTGGTTAGGAAACATGTATCAGAATGCTGAAATTCGTACCTTGTCTAGTGGTCCATTATTGCATGACCTACCTGGGACTCGATGCTTCCGGCAGGACTGGAGCTCGGGACGGTGTTTTTATCCGGGATGGTAATCTTCTGGCCGGGGTAGATGGCGTTGGGGTTGTTGATCTGCGGGTTGGCGTCGACGATCGTGTTGAGGGTGATCTTGTTGCGCTGCGCGATCTTCCATAGCGTGTCGCCGGAGACGATGGTGTAGGTGGTAGCCGCGTAGATCGCGGGGAGAGAGACGATCGCAACGACCATCAAAATCGTCGGCAGGAATGTCGACCGGCTCTTCTTTGATACCATCTCGTGGCCTTGCATATGCTAAGAGAAACCCTATTTATAGAGGAAAGAAAAATCCAATTTTTAATTGATTTCTTCGGGTTTTCAATGCCTCATTTCTAGTCTATCCAGAGGTGGATCCAGCAATTTGGCAACACCGGATTCCATCCATTTAAACCTATGTTAAACAATCGATTCTTGTCGGAGCACCTGCCGGTGCCTGGCCCCTCCTAGAATCGATACATTTCCATAGGTTTAAATAGAGAAAAAGAAAGGTGCCAACTTGCTGGGTCCGCCGATGAGTCTATCCAACCGGTAATCCTCAAAGCTACACTACTTGTCGGCCGTGGTAAGGAAGAACGCCTTATAAGCCACCAGGCGTTGCCAAATTTCTTTCGACCGATCGCACATTCCCATGAAAAGTTGTGAATATTTCTCTTCCGATTTTCTAGAGGACTTCGTTCGTAATTTGACCTGGAAAGTTTGAAAATTTCAAGAAAAAATATTCCCAACTTTCCTCCCAAATGAGTATTTTCTGAGAGTAAATTTGGCAACTCTTGAATGTTCATACGGCGTTCTGTCTTAGCACGGCAGCTGTATCCACTCACCAAAACTACTTTTGCCCAAATTAACGGGAAGAACAACCTGGTGCTGAGCCATAATAGTTTAGATTAAATGGAGCCAGTTCAGAAGGTACCAGTGCTGAGCCCTACAGACTGTAGGTTTCAGCAACATGACAACAAAATTACTAGAGAATTGTGAATGTTTTATTCAATTTTAATTAGGATTGTTTTTTCGATAACATTTATATTTTAAGCAATTGTGCCGATTTAGTTTAACAGAAAAGAAGTCAATATTTTTGAAATAGAGGAAAGAAAGTCTGAGTGTCATAGAATGGGTCTCTCGCACGTCATAAGTACAGTCAAGTAAACTAGCTCTCTACAGATCATACGGTACGAAAATCACGATATAGACTCGTATGAAAAGTCTGAAATCTACGCCTTACGGCACAATCTTCGCGGTTTGTTTCACGCTCTTTCAAATTTACCACAACCGTGGGCGCCTGGGCGGTTTTCCTTGAGTCGTCGACTGTTAGATTTGTTCAGTGAGAGCCGCAAGAAAACTACATACATTCAAAAACCATTTCGCAAACTGTCACGAAATTCTCTTTTGTGTGATTTCTAGCTCTCGTTTTTGCAAAACCGAAGAACAAGAAGGGAATCAATCGTTTGCTAAAATGCAAACAATAATTGAAATCATACGCGAGAAAAAATTTGCGGGATTATTTTTTTAAATTAGGATTTTGACGTTTTTTTCTGGGCAAATCTGGTTGCCGGTGGCCTACGTCCAGTAATTGCCCCATGGAAGCAAAAATCTTAGAAAAGCATGTTACAAACTACGCAAATCGTACGTCTAAGAGCGGATTTCAGACTTTTTGGATGTGCCTGAGAGGTTTTTTTGTGATTATACCGAAGGAAGGTGTATCCACCAATAGCTGTATCTCATGTGTGGACAGACCAATTTCTTTTTCTCATTAATAAAAATTCATGCTTCAGAAGTTTAATTTTCAATTGACTGAAGGATGTATTATCTGTATTCCTAACCGTGAAAATCAGGCTGAATACAGGACTTCATTTTGCAGTGAGAACCACAATACCTGGCTCATGTTTAGAAACGACATATGCGCCATCAGTTTACCTATGCCCTTAAGTGTTTTTACGGAAGGGCTAGAAAATGTTGTTCTTAATCGCAAAATGTAGTCCAAATCAGGAAAAGGGACCAAGTGCAAAACGCTTTGGAGTTGGTGATGGAAAAGTGGAATAATTAAAAGCAAGAAATAATCAGATCTCTTTGTTTTCCGGGGAAAATAAATTATTATAAAAAACTTTGCCTTTGGTGTTTTTGATCCGTATAGCTGTCCCTCAAAAACGCCAAGCAATGTGTCAACCCTTGATTGATCATTGGAAGAGTTGTACGAAATGGCAACGTCACAGAGTAGACTGTTTCAATTCGCGCACGAAAATCGTTTCTGTTACAAACCAGAAATGGACGTCGTTTCATCTCTCTCCGCATTTGGAAACCTTAAAAGCTTTTTTTTTCACATTTTGACAAGCTGGAAATTAAACGACTTTGACGTTTTTTGTGCTCTTACGAGGAAACAGGAAAAATTTCCCAACCGCACGGTAAAAATCTCAATTCATGAGTTGGCAAGGACACTAAAAGAAATCAACGTTTAGCTAAAACGGTCCAGTAAATTACATACGAGTGAGGAAAAATTGTCATGCTGACGAACAGAGCGAGGTATTGCATCGGGCCTAAAAGCTCTACATTGGTTGCTCGCATTTCTGTCAGTTTTTCTATGACATATAATGCGCCTACGTTTTACAGATAGGCAATTAGCAGCACGCGATTTCTACGAGAATTTTAAATTTAGTGTTCAGCGGCGCGGGCCGATTATTAAAATAAAAGAAACATAAATATATTTGTTTTTAAATAAACTAGTAAAATTGTAATTTTTAATGATGAAAGCACTCAATAAAGACATAGGCGAGACATTCACCATAAGTAACATGGAAGGCAGCAAATCCCTATGTCGAGGAAGGAAAACAAAGAGCCAGTGTTTTTGTAACAATATTCCTTCCGTAAATCATATAAGTAGACGAAAGCTGGTCTAATCATTTCAGTTTTTCATTTTGAGAAAATGTAAATAGTTTTTAAAGAAAATCTTTATAACTCAGCACGTACCTGTGGTCGTAAAACGGAAAACTTTCTTAAAACAGATTTGTGAGCTAGCCACAAACGTAAACACGGTTCTGTACGCTATAACGTTGTTCAACAACACCAAGATATCTCCAATGGATCCATCCGAATATATAGACACGACTGCACTTTGTCTTGACTTTGTCTCGCTAAAACGGCCACTGATTGGATCCAGATCAGCTGAGGAGGCAAGGTCAGGGGAAAACCGGCAGCAAAATCCCCGTGTTGGTGATGGCGTTTAATTATCAACTGTAACACTTTTGTACGCAACGGACAAGGAAAAGAAGTAGCTTTTTAAGGAAAAAGGTAAAAAAAGACATCTTAGTTTCCCAGAGTCCCCCGTGCTGGGTAAGCTGCTTGTTAAGCGTCGAACGGTTCTTCATAGGAAACAAAAAGCTTTTGAATTCGTATTTACGTTTTATTTTTTCTACCTAATAAACCTATTTTTTTCCCCTCAGTTTTCCATAGGTTAAATTATTTAAAGCAAAGAAAAATAGACCCATTTTATGATTTGAAAAATCATATCGTTTTAAATCAATCGATGAGTGTTATTTCGAACGTACACGCCTGTATTTTTTTCTTCCTCAGGAAAGAACAACGTTTGACCCCTAGGTCACCCTTGGTTAGAGTACTTTCTTCTGACGTGTCGAGAGGCAAAGTGCATGGTGATGAATTAGAAGTCGAATTTTGTCACGAAATATTTATTTGATTCGTACAACGAAATTTATTACACTTTGAGAACATCCTGTTTCGGATAATAACTGTACGCTTCTCCGTACTGTGTGCGTACTGCAATTCCGGTATCCGCACAAACGGATGAAAAGGGTAAAACTTATCTGTAAATAGATCTTTGGATGGGATCGGGAGAGGTTTTTAATACAACAATATTTGTTTGATTTATACAATTAAATTCTATAAATGTTCGATGTATAAATGTTTCCGCGCAACTAAGACCCATTATGACAGTTTCGTAAAATTGAAAAACGAAAAATAAGTAAAAAACCAATTCGAAACGTTTTACTAGGTAAAGTTATTTTGCCTGAACTTTTGCCAATTTCATCGTTAAGACATATCGACGGTGTAAGTCGGCAGTCACATAACTCGTTTGCGGTATCTGAAAATCTCCGCCTCCATATTAAATTTTTTAAAGGAGAACAAATTGACGTCATTCCTTGAAGTTTATGCAGAATTTTCCTCGCACAGAGAAGAAAAATCACGGCAGTTTTAAAGGATTGCCGTTGAGTAGTTTTCCGTTTAAAAAATAAAGTGTGACAGGAAGTCTGCGACGTCGCAAACCGAGTTGTGTGATTGCCGACTTACACCGTCGATATGTATATTTCATGTGATAAGAAAACTTTAGCTGTCACGTATGTGTGGCACGAGGCTGGTCGAATATATGTATAGAAACATGGGTACTTATTAGTGACTTAAATTAGATAAGGAGTAGGACTCCGTCCTCCTTTTTGAACGAAGAAATACGCATAATGGGTCAATAAACTGGCTGGCTCGTGCCAAGTTCAAGTCAAACATGCTGTCAACTCAAAAACGCGTTCGCGTCTTGTTACAATCAATTTCAGCTGTCTTCTATTCTCTCAATGTTTACGTTTCAACCGGTTTTTTAGCGCTTCGGGGGGTCCGTAATTCATTGAGCTGTTTTATACTATTGACTAATGAATGAAGAATCTAAATTAGCAGCATCTCACAGTGTAAACGCTGATCCTAAGGATGTAATATTGCTAGTTGGTGATTTCATCAATGACACATATCTTTGTAAATCAGGAACTGTTGAAGACTTTACTCCAAAAGTTTCAGGGACTTCCTCGTTTTCTTTTGATGGATAGCTGTTATGACTGAAATAATTTCAATTTTGAATTTCTAATCCTGGATTTATATCAAACATCGTCCAAGCATTGATTGAATTCCTATATTGGTTACCAAAAAATCTTCGTGTTTTTTGGAAAATTTTAGATGGTTCTTTTCAAGCAATATCAACACGCCCCAGGTTGGCGAATAAAATGTTCAACGTCATTGACTGATAAATTGGTGAGTAGACGGCGTTTGTGTTCAATTTTGATTAAACTTCAATTTTAACAGGGAGTAATCAGGTTTTCTGTTAAAAACACTGACAAAGGTTGGGTAATAGTTGCCGAAATTTTCCCTTTTATTCAATCTAAATGGTTTACATGAGTGACCCTGCTATGAACGACCACGTAGGTATAGGTAAAACATGGTAACACGCCAACATGGTGCCAACATCTTAACAATACGATATTCTGTTGAGATTAGTATGTCACTATGATGGGGCCAACATTCAAACATGCACGGAGAAAAAAACGGGGGTCATACGAACCGAACGATTTTGATTCACATGAAGTATTTTTCATATCGACGGAGGTTTTAAGTTCAGTGACGTGATCATTTATTTCTATGAACTGAATTGGTTAATTCGCTCGCCTATAGGCTCAGTCCTGAAGCGAAAAGCGCCACTGAACTATTCTGCGTACTGAGGAAGAAAGCCGTATGCACATTCGAGAGTCACCGAATTTCCCCGGATAAAACATGATTTTTTTAAAAGGAAATCACGCATATTTTTCCTTGAGATTTTCAGATGTCCTCGAATATATTGTGATAAATAATTGTCTGTAAATTTTTAAGAAAAATGTTTACGATTTTCGCAGTAAAGTCGTTTTTCCTTGAAGAAAGAATGGCAACGCTTGAAGGCTCATACAACGTTATTCCCTAACACGGCAGTATAATGACTGTTGTTTAACCCAAGTTTTTTTTTTTTTCTCTTTATGATACTGGTTGCATAGTGGCCTCTTTGACCAAGTTCATGGCATTTTGCTACGTTGTTTGATCTCAGCATGTCACCAATGCACTCATGGTAGTACTAATCTATGGCTTTATAAACCAGTTAGTGGTTCATGTGGAACACCACTAATATTGGCAAATGAACTAATGATTCTCAGTCTGCTGTGAACCATACCATGGTATCTCGTAACATACTAAGGTGTATATACCTTCACGAAGGTGTATGGGCTGTTATTATATTATTATGTTGCCTAAAACACCTAGTAAAATTACAACTTGATTTGGGGAAAGGCTGCAAAATAAAAGGGGAACAAATCAAAAGAAAAACCTGGAACGTTTCGAAATAAATAGTTACAATTCTATTATCAACCGGAAACGAAAATTAAATAAAAATGAGTCTGTTATTGCGGGACCGAGACTCAAACCAGACAGGACGAGGCTCACTGTCTCGGTCTCGCAATAACAGCGAATCGACGACCCATTTTTATTTAATTTTTGTTTCCAGTTGATAATAGAATTGTAACCATTTCGAAACGTTCCAGGTTTTTCTTTTGATTTGTTCCCCTTTTATTTTGCAGCCTTTCTCCAAATCAAGTTGTTATTTTATTATGTATTGCCTTTACTAGTATTAGTGGTTTTCCATGTCAAACAATAATTGGTTTACCAAGCATAGCTTTTCCTCAGTGTGGCCGTGTTTAGCAGGGTAAATACAGGGCTATTCAAAAGTCACGCACCACTGGTCATGAGGAGGATGGCCATTTGAAAATGTTGAGTCGCATCCCGCCCCGCCCCCCTCCCCCCGAGGGGGTCAAAACTGGAAAGCACCTAAAAAAGTTTCCCTCTCAGTATGAGGAAAAACGTCACAAACCCTGAATCGTTACACTGAAAAAAGAACTCCGGCCGTGGGAGCCGCATTGAAGGGCTATATAGACATACCGTCCGTTCCGGGCTCAAAGGTCGAAAATTCCGGCTGCTGGAGCCGTAGCTTCGGCCACTGAACCCGGAGCAATTGAAGCTACGCCTCCAGCAGCCGGAATTTTCGGCCTTTTGGCCCGGAACGGACGGTATGTCTATATAGCCCGTAATTGCGGCTCCCACGGCCGGAGTTTTTTTTTTCAGCGTATCTTAATTAGAACTAAAGGCATGGCTAGTGGAACGTGACTTTTGAATAACCCTGCATAACATTTTCTTGCCGTGGACAATTGAAGAGCTGGAACTTGGTTGGTCCATGTATTACTCATGGCCAGTTGTAGGAGGACCGTTGTCACCCTTCCACGGTGGAATAATCGTGCCGTGGACAATGGGTCACTATACCATGAACGAATTTTGACTTGCGAATATAGTTTTCTGAAGGAAAATGCTCGTATAACACGATGCGAACATTAAAACCGCGAACAAGTAACTCAATTACCGAGAAATGCGTAGTTCAAATCGCTCAACTTATACGCAAATTTAAAACGCCCCGGTTTCGCGCCGCACCGAATGATGTCATCCGGCACCAATCAGAGGCGGGCACGGGTTTCCACGACGTCCGTCAAATGTCTATCCACTCTTCGTATATGAGAACAATACTAAAGTCGAAATTATATCTTTTGAATTCAAGACTAGAATCTCATTCATATGTTAGCTGTAATAAACAAGCAACAACTCCACATTGAAATACGTTTTATTTTAACGAACATCAGAGGAAAATGAGAGAAGATTGCGATATGACTACCGCAGTACATCAACCGCGTCAGTTTCCCGCCATTCGGGTGCGTTTGAAATGTCTTGCAGTTTTTAGATTTTTCAAAAGCGGTTTTCTCCGCGATTTTGGCTCCATGAAAAACGGAAAAATCACCACGTTATCTCCTCACATAGTACTTCCAGAATATTCAATAAAATAAACAAGGTTTAGTGACCCATTGAAGAGCTGGAACTTGGTAGAGTCCCTTTATACCCAGAGTTAAGACAACTCACTTTTGGTTGGGCCAGGGTTGGGCTGAAAGTGGCCTAAAAAAATCCAATTCTGATTGGTTCTCGCTCATGGAGGCCGAAACGAGTGCACCAAGATGGCGGTACCTCGAATGTGAACAAGAATAATGAAAATATTACCTAATTGTGGTTTATCAAGAGTAAATTGTTATTTCCATCGGTCCAAAATGAAAATAGATTAAGAAATTATTCACAAACCAATCCCATTTTCTTTTTAATTGATCAATTTTTTGATGTTGTTGTTTTTGTGTGACAGACATCGCAGGATTCCTGATCCTTATCCCTCAATATCGTTCGTTTGGGTGCACTCGTTTCGGCCTCCATGGCCAGCCAAGGCCGGCTGCCAGTCAGCTGATAATCGAGTTGTCTTAACTCTGGGTATAAAGGGACTCTAGAACTTGGTTGGTGAATGTATTACTCATGGCCAGTCGTTTTTACTCGACTTGGCCGCGTCGTGAGCCTGGGTCCCAGTCGCGACGTCGTCGGCCGACCGGGCTGGAACGTTGTCCAGGAGGCGCAAAAGTCGCTTGTAAGTGAGAGCTCCGATCAAGACGTAGACGCCCACGCCTAGGACGAGTCCTGCCCAGAATTGGGTCGGGTCGGCCGGACAGGGTGACGGGTCCACGGAAGCTTCCTCTGTGCAGTTCAAGCCGCATTTCTCGCAGTCCACTTCGGACATGAAGTAGCCCAGCTCGTGGTCGCATACGTAAGTGACGAGGCCAAACCGCAGGTCGGGGATTGTCTGAAACCAACGAATCCAATTAAACAGAATGGATCCAAGTCCTTTTTTGGGGATGAAAATAATTTACAAGTAATGCAATTACTCACGAGCATTCTGGCCTCCTTTTTAAAATGTATGGCTGTTTAGCCGCACCCCCCCCCCCCCCCCCCCCCCCCCCCCCCCCCCCCCCCCCCCCCCCCCCCCCCCCCCCCCCCCCCCCCCCCCCCCCCCCCCCCCCCCACC